TTTCTAACTCTAAAAGCGCTCACTATTTGGTACTTACGGTCTATCCCATAGGCACGACCGCTTCCAAATGCAGATCGGAACGTTCCACAGAATACACTCAGGAGCGATAGCGGTCCGCCGGTAGGTATACGGGGTGGTTAGCGTCGGCACGTGTCGCGAGTTTGACCTTTTCAGACACCTACTATCGTGCCAAAGAACCATGAGTGAACACGATGGGCCCGTTTTCTACCATATCCCCTGACCCTGTAGGTATAGCTCGGAATACAGAGGTATCTGTATTTTTAAATTCACATGAAAACAACCGTTTAGAAGCCATATCGGGGTGCATCTCCTTTTCTTAAAAAATTAAATATTATCAAGACTTGTTTTTGAATTGAAAGTACAGACATCCTTTTTCATGTTTTCTTCACTCGCAGCTCTTGATCTCTCAGCAGGAATAATAATGTTAAGTGAATAGCAAGCGAACATCGGTAGGCGATTTTCAGCTTCCCATCCACAACCGAACAAGCCGTCGTAGCGAAATTGAAATTGCTCACCAAAGGTTTCAAGTTTTTTTACTCCAGCAGCTACCCACACTTAAAAATATTCATAGATGATCCGAAGATGATGCTATCTTATAGGTAACCATCGCTCAATGCATTTGAAACTTTTGTGTTTGACAATGAAGGTCGGTTAAAGTAGCAGGTTTGCAGATATTTTCCGCGTACTCGCATAGCTCAGATTTTGGGTCAGATCGTTTTGCCCGTCCCCATAGGACCTTACACTCTTTCTTCTGTGACGTGCGTAGTTACCTTGATGTGTATTGTGTGAGTAGCCTCGACCTCGCAACCGTGACGTTTGCATTCGCCTTGATACTGCGGCGTCACAATCGAATATCCATCACAATGTGTCCTCCTCACAGGGTTTCTGTGAATCCTTGCAGGCCGTCCTTGTATCATTTCGTCATCGCTGCGCGTTTCTTGTGCTGTCGCCTTCCTCGCAGCCGCTCCCTCTGCCTCAGTGGCTACTTCCCAGTCCATTCTTCCGGCTGACGAAGAAGTCGGGACTGGCGTAAACCAGGACAGACGGCCGATCGGCACCCCGAGGGCCGGCATCTGAAGGTCTCGTCCGGTGCCGCCGGCGTCCGCTGCTCCGCCCCTAACCGGTCTCCCGGAACGGGAGAGGAAACTGGACTGCTGGCCGCACCGGCTGACGTCAAACCCCTACAACTGTGTCAGGGACGGGCGCGGTGCGCTACGAAACGGGCGCTCCGGAGACGAATGCCCGCTGATGCCGGCGGCGGCGCAGCGCGACTGTTGGGTACTCGACGGACCCTCGACCTTGATTTTCAGGTCGAGTTTGGGCGGTTAGCTGTTAATCAATCTGCTGGATGATGACACTCGAAGAGATGTTGGCGTGGTGTTCTTTACATGGATGAGATAAATCGTCGAGCTGTCTTCGCTGGGTCTGTTCTTCATCCCCAAACCACATTTCGCCAGGCATGTTGCGCCATTTGGATGACGAGCATCCTTGGCGTGTGTCTCGCCTCATCTCGTACCGCGTCTAGCTGGGGCCGTGCGTAACCTCGTCGCGTTACGACGATCGTCTCTGGCGGCGTGGTCGACCTCGGGCGCGCGGCGCTCGCGCTGTTGCGCCACTCCATCGCAGCATGGGAGTCGCGCCGTGTCCCTCCTCTACAGTCCCACACCTTTCACCAGCGCAGCTTCTGGTGGTGGCCTTGTCTGCTTCGCACTGGCGAACAGGCGCCGGCGTGTGACCTCAGAGCGGTGGGAAATACACAAACGCGTGAGGGGAGCGTTGGCGAACGGGGCCAGTAGTACTTGGGAAGGAAGTGCGATGTGACAAAAACAGCTCTGCGAGGTACGATTGTAGGTCTCGGCTTCCGTTTGCGTGTGCATTCACGCCTTGTTTTGTGGATGTGTGCGACGAGGAAGGCTGCTGCGGTAGGAATAATGCCAGGCAAACGAATGAGGCGAATTCGTGTGGCGCTACTGAGTTGTGAGAAAATAGGTGGGAGATTTGCACCGAGTCATGCAATTTTCTGTTAGTGTTCATGTTCAAAGCAGAACGGGTCATTTGTGTAATGGTTTTCCCAGACACGTTTTTCACTTCCGTTCGACATGTTATTACCATGTAACACGGCTTTGTGTCGGAAGCTTTATTGATGTGGCAACCACTGAACAACAGGACGGAAGTAACCTGCAACATTGCTATGCTGGCTACGAAGAATCATGACCATTTGAAATGTTCTTTGCTTGCTTTGTTTTATAGACAAGCATTGAAAATAATTACGTCAATTTATGCATAATCCCATCACTTGATGAATTATTTCCCTGTGCGATCTTATCTTTATGCATTATATCACCGGGCGTGCACTACCATCCTACAAAATATGCAAACTAAACAAATAAACAACTAATTTGAAAGCCGTACCGCCGCAGACAAAGGACGGTTGACAGCGGCGGTCGGCGGCCCGGCTCGGCTCCACCGGCCGGCCACGACCCCTAACACTGGCTGCGGCCCAATTTCGGCACAGTGCGCCTGTCACCGGGCAGGTCAACAGCGCCGCATACATGCCGTATCATCGGCATCCGCCGGCGCCAGCTCCGCGGCCGTTGTCGCGGGCGGCGGCGGTGACCTGACGCTGTCAATCCCCGCCGCGCCCCGCCCCGGACCGTCGGACGAGCCACGCACCCCGCCAAGTGCGTGAGCGCCGCCGACCGGACTGACCTCAAAGCGAGGCGGGTCGGCAGGCCGCCAGCGCCCGGCCCGACAGTGCGTATACCCGCGGCTCTGTGGGCGGGTCGCCAGACGCACCTGCTTACACCGCCGCCACCGCCGCCGGAGGCCTGTGCGTGCCGGCCGTCTTTTTGCGTCCGGCGTCGGCCCCATGACCCAAATCGCCTCCGGGCACGGCTCGGATGATCTACCGACCGTGTGTCTTGGCGGCGGTGACGCTGTCGGTGACGGCGGTGGTCTCTGCTGCCGGGGAAGTGATGCGAGCTGCCATCAGACCTGAAAGGCCACCCGCCGAGCGGTGCCGTGCCGAGCGCTTCAGGGAAGCCAATGAGCGTCACGAGTTTTTGTGCGCCCAGTTTTCCACGTTTCTGCCGTTTCTGACCTTTTAACATCAGCGACGGTGCATGGTAACGGTAGCGTGCACCGGTCGACAGCTGTCTTATGTCTAGAATCAGCCGTCTGCTGCCGCTTGCCGCTTATATATTTGTCGTTCATCCGTAGGCCGATTGATTATATAATTATCACTGCATCCCGTAGATTAAATGCTCACCGGAACTCTCACTCCATATCAAGTGACCTGAGATCGACCTCGGGACATGCCCCGCTGAAGAATCGAGTCCGGTGAAGACACCAAGTAACTGACCATCCTAAACCAGAGACCACTCGCCCCTGTCATTCAGTCTCACTCAAACCAGCGCCACTGCTGTGAGCCTGGGCCGTTTCCCGAGCTCTGGAATAGTGCAGCCCGCCGAGCCGACATGCACGGCCCACCTGCCGGTAATCGCTGTTCGCGGTAGCCGCCTGAGATCCGTCTCACGTGCGAGTGCTGGCGTGGCACCGCGGTGGACCCGGCTCCGGGACCGGACGCCGGACACAGCTCGGTGGCGGGTTGGGATTAGGAGCTCTACTGAGGTCACAGTGTGAAAGGTGTGTGCTAGAGAGGCAGTAAATACTGATTGTCTTATCAGGTGGATGCGGGTAGTAGTGTGGCGAATAGAGATCCAAATTTTGGACCCTGTACGCTGTGTATCCTTGATTTTCAAATAATGCCACGGGTAGCTGCCATGTGGTTCTCGAGTGACACAGAGTCGCACTGCTGCAGCTAATGCCATGCGGAATGTCGCCTGGCTGTGCCGCACCGAGCTACCATATTCGGGTCCGGTTACCAGACGGAGCGAGCCCGTCGTCGGACAGGGTCTGCTCGAGCAGCACCAGTTCTCCGAACTGGCTGCTGTGCTCTCCTCTGGAGCGGCGGTGCTCCCCGGCACAGCGCGCTGCCCGGGTGTGATCGGACCGCGGCGCGGCCGGGCCCGGGGCGCCACTCCTCCTCCTCACCCTCACCCTCGGAGGACGTTCCTCCGAGACCGCTCCTCCGAGAAGACTCCTGCCCGCGGGCCGCGGACGTGGCCACACCGCCGGCGGCCGTCCCGCATGCCTCGGCCGCCACCGAGCAAAACAAGGGGCGGGGCAGTCACCGGCGCCGGCCGCAGGGGTGAAAGGGTAACGCGGCGCGACCTCGAGCGGAAGGGGAGCGGGGTGGATGAACTTGGCCCCGCTCAGGTGGCTATTACCGCCGGGCCGCGCACAAGTGGTATTGTGTGCGTGGATGCGGGGCGGACGGCGTGGGGTGCTGGGGGATGCCGTGCGGTCGCACGCGGCGTCTGCCCCGCTTTGGGTACCGGCCGCCGGGGTACCGTGGGAACGAGAGCGGAGCTTCCCTAGCAGCGCAACGTCTGCGGTTGTATCATAACAAAAATAGACGGCGGCTGTTTTGAACGCTACCGGGGCTCCAAGGGGAAGGAGGCGCCGACGCTGTGGTGTGCTGAACGAGGGACGATAATTTACACCACTTGAACGACGAGGGATAACCGGAGAAGCGGTTACTTTTTAAATCCTTGGGCCCGTGGAAGGTAAACAGGAGACATAGTCAGCTATCGACTGGGGGTAAATGATGGACTCGGGCACCATATCCTGTCTAAATGGAACCCTTGGACGCTTTTGGACTCGACTCAGTGACGTCAAGTCATTTATCATGCTACGACCACCCATTTATCATGAAAATGGATTCACAGGGGTGGGTGGGCGATCAATTGGTGCCATCGATTGTACTACGCTTGTTGAACATTTCACAATGTGTAGTGTAATCCGCAGCTGTTACGTTCGGTTTTACGTGGGAATGTTTTGAAAAACATGGCTTTAAGACGAGTTGCTGAGTTTGACGTTTGCTCTCGTTGCTGATGTGGGTTCTCTTTCTGTTGCAGAGGATGCGGACCTGGCCAACTTCATGAGAACTAACGATGTGATCGGTGAGTACCGACTTCCCACCTCACACTGTCCTGTGATAACGGATGTAGATCGCGCGATTTCTGTCTATTTCGGTAGCCATTCCTGCCCCTTTACCTTATCGTTTCTTATATTCTGTTTGCCGGCCGTTTCTGACAGATCTGCGCAGACGGCGTCACAAAGCCTGTTTTCTGTTGAATGGCTACCGGGATAGGGATCAGGAAACTCCGCGGGGGTCGGGATTAGAGCCTGGGCGTTTCCCAAAGTTACCTAACGTGTAAGAACAATACCTTCTCCGGTGATAGTAACGTATAGCTGCTCGGTTCTAACTTCGGCTCCCCGATGCTGTTTGGTTTCAAATACTATGGTTGTTCTGCGGAACGGTGATGGGTTTTACCCTCATATCCTGTGTACGTATGCAATGCAGTGGCAGTGGAATTCTTCCTCGTCACCCTGAGGGTGGCTCATTGGAAGATTCGATGGCATTCACGCTGGAGTTGATTCTATGTCTTCCTCATGATTTGCAAATAAACGACTACCCAAAGCCGGGGCTGGGTACGACGCTCCACCAGACGGCGCGTCTTTTTTAGCTTTGCATGTCCTGTTTTATGCATACATGCTTGATGCTACACCGTGCGCTGGGCTGGCCCATTGCGCGCATGTAACCGGCCACATCCGACTGCCGCGTCCGATACACCCTTGATGACGTCATTGTGTGCATGGTATGACGATCGCGGTGGCTGTCGAGCGACCTTTGCTGGCGTACGATGACGCTCGAACCCGCGACCGGCAGACGCTGACATTTGTTTATTAGCTTAGCTGGGAACCGAGCTTTTAGGCACGGCGTGCGCCCAGTGCTCACCCGCTAGCAATGACCCTGGTGGGGATGTGGTGGAAATGAAGATGGCGCCATGAGGGGTTTGATTGAAAGGTCGATTAGAGGGTAGTTTTTAGAGGAAGGTGGGGATGAGGGATAGTCAGCCTTTTTTTACATTGTCTTGAATTTTGTTTCTGGGCTTGCGTAGTTATCGACGTACGGGTGGTATCACAGTCACATCGTCCTTGTTTCTTTCATGAGCGAGGTTTTACAATGTCTGTGTTTTTGCAATGCACTATCGCAGTGCTCTGCGTTTCGCAACCATTGTCGTGTTAATCTCCGCTTAACCTTCGTGTTCTGAGCCTGATTGGAGTATAGTTATATAAGATGAACATCAATTCATTATGGCGGAATTGTTGCGCCAGGACAAGTCAATACAGCTTGACGACCAGTTTGGTGTATTAGGGACATTTCTTCATCGCCATCCCTCCGGCAGAATAGCTCAGCAAATAAGCTCTTGGTCTGGGTACCTGGAACTTTTTCACGTACCGATCCGTCAGTTACAAATGCTTCATCGAAATACCTGCAAGTACCGGACATTTTTGGACAACAGTTTAATCAACCTTGCCATAACTTTGGGAGGTGAATCGCTTCCAACTTCCCTGAAAACTGCCAACCACTACTGATTCTTGATGGGAAGACGGAGTTCATTAACACCTTACATTTTCCGTTCTCAGATCATGTTTGATAGATTCTTTGCTCGTAGAAGTGTTTCGGAAATGGTTTTTGTTTGCTTTGATCACAGGGAAGAGGAAGGAAGGCGGAAACTGTAAACATGTAGGTACCGGTTTAATATGACTTCGATACTACGAATGAACAAGACCATAGGAAAGAAATGGCAGCAATCGAACCATTTCGGTACATAATAGCCAAAAGAATGCCTGCTAACATTATCAGAAGTTGCCGCTCTTCAGCCGAAGGTGGTACTCTTGTCGAAGCAGGAAGGAAGCGCCGAGGGCCCACTGGCCTGGGTACCGTTCACCGGCATGTTACCTGACTCAGGAAGGAAGGGACGAACAAGGTTTCATCGAAACATCGCCCGGTTCGACCATGCACTATCCCAGGTGAAAGAAATGACTCGTGATGTTGCACAGCGGGTCGCCGTACTTCACAGACACCGCTGTACGATTGACCAACGTGTGACGCAATGCGCGAAGGTCCCGTGGGTCACGCAGGCGGGCGGTGAGACGTGGTCCCTTCCGACCCGACCGCGGCCAGGAAGGAAGGGCGAAGGCCCGCCGACCGGACGCCCGGCCGCCGCGGCGAGGTCGCGCGTCGAGCGGAACCAACCCGCGCCCGAGCCGCGCACGCCGGCAGCCTTGGCACACTTGGTGGCGCTCTTAAAGGCTGCCGCTGTCGGCGACTGGCCGGTCTGTGCCGACCTTGACCTCGGCGCTGGTGTGTGCTGGCGTCAGCGGACCAGCCGGACGGACCGGGCCGAGCCGGTCGGCAGCGACAGACCGACCGGTCGAGTCGCGTCTCTCCACGATCGGCCCGGCCGACCGGTCAGTCGCTGGGCGCTGCTGGCTGGCACAGACAACCGGCGAAAAGCGAGAGTGAGATTGGTCTGCGCGTGAGCGTTTTTCTGGTTGCTCGACCGCAGATCGGCGGCGAGTCGGAGCTGGTACCGGCGGCGGTTCCGCCAGAAATTGTGATTGTTGTTCACCGTAGCAGATAACACGGCTGATGATGCCGGATCAGTGGCTCGGCATGGTCTCAGGCCATCTGTGATAGAGCCGGCCGAATACCCTGAAAGTACCCGTCCTCAGACCGAGAACCAACCACGGCTTAGGATTAGCTGGAAGTCAGATGTTGCGGAAAGTATGTTTGCGAAAAATGAAGGTTCGACTTGATGCGAGGCATCGGTTAGGTAACAATCGACCTGCAATGAAAGCGAAGTTTATCCGATACTTCCAGCTACGCAAGCATTACGAACAATGAGACGTGAAATCGGACTGCGAAGGGTTCTATAATAGTCAGCCTTCGCAACAACAGACAAATACTTTCACACACTCGTAAGCTTTGGATGTTGCATGCCATGTTATCGATTAACTTCGCCCTTGGACTCGTGTGCCTGTGGGTGCTATGTGGCTAAATAGACAAACAAACTGCAGGTGCAAATAGTTATGAGTGGATTTCGATGATTCATGTAATTCCATGCCCGAGTTTTGAATCGCCTCGTTTCACTCCACTATTTTCACGTTCTTCCACGGTACGTCCGACTGAAAGTGGAACGTTTCGACCTTCTACTCGCATTGTGTTTCCGTCCCGTGCCGTCGTACTTGGGAAAGGTAAGACCGTCCAAGGTCAGAGGCGGTCGCTCCGAGCTTTTTGAAAACACTGCCGTGTGTGGCGACTTCCACGGTGTGTGCCCTCGTGGGCCGCGAGGCACTCCTATATTGTACGAATTAAAAATACTGGCCCAAAAACTTGAGCGGCTTTTCGTGATGGCTGAAGACATAGTCAAAGTAGCCCGGCACGGTCCGAGTTTATGGTGAAATTATATTTTCCTCAAGTAATCTGGGAATTCAAAATGTTCCGTGCACATTTGCTGCTCGCTCATTATTGCATGTTGCGAAATAATGCAAACATAAAAAGGCTCAGAAAGTGCATGCCTCTGAAGAATTAAATGAGAAGCTCATATACCATGAGCTCTCTTTTGCAATGGTACACGAACATATTGTCCGTTTTCCCTTTCTATCCCTGAGCTCATCCCTTTCCGTGTGTCTGTTCCACTACCCGGGTGGGGCCTCTGGACCACCTGAGCTGCACCCCTCGGTAGTGGTGGCGGCTTCACGGACCGGGCCGTGCCGTGCCGGGCTCCTCCGCCGCGGGCCTGGGTCTCCTCCGCCGGCCGGCAGCGGCGCGCCGGCCCTGCCCCCTGGCGGCGCCGGCAGCCGCCGGCCGGTCGGCCGCCGCTCCGAAGGCCGCCCTCCACCACCGGAACAGTCGGAGTCTGTGACTCCCGCGTGGTGGACGTGTCTGGTCGGTGTGCCGTCGGCGCTCAGCGGTCTGAGGTGACACGACACGGGACGCGTGGTACCCAGTCAGCTCAGCGAGAGATGCGCGCACCTGCTGCCGTCTAGCGCACCCCGGCCTGCAGCAGAGCGCACGCCGAGCGGTCCGAACTGCCAGTGAGTCGGCGAACGGTGTCGGAGCGGCCGCTGTTGTCTGCGCGAGACACGAGTGAACTCTTAAGGCGTCAATATGAAGTTCAAGCCGCTGAATATTCTGGACGAGCACCTGGATGCGGACGAGCCGCTGGATCTGTCGGTACGGCGCGCCGCCGAGCCCGACAGGGACTTCCAGGAGGCGTTCGATGAGACCGAGCGCAACTTGGTAGCGCCCATCTTCGAGACCAAGGTGCTGCCCATCAAGAAGAGGAACGTGGTCGTATCGTCCGAGTCTTTCGCCAACCCTTGGAGTGATTTCCGAGCACCAGGTTGGTTATGTGGCGGCATGAATGGGATGGTGTGACTGGTTTGGCTGTGTGGATGAAATGGTTGTGTGCCTCCTTGAGTTATGACAGGTGGTTGATTGATTTGATGAGGTGAATAGTTGGCGATCACTTTGGTGATCACTTTGGTGATCGCTAGCTGTCCTATTCAGGGCAGCATTTCCTTCTTCATAGTATAGATCACTTCGAAACGGTTCTTCAATCGCTTTTCAGCTCACCTCAATCCTACACTTCGTGTAAGATTTTGCGATGAGCTAACACGTTTCATTACAATTAACAACCATTGGTGAGCACTGAGTGTACGACCATATTCTGTCGATGTATATCTGAAACTAACTGGGTCGTACGCAGTCTCTCTCAGTAAAGCTCTACTTTCTCGGGAAGCACAGCTGTTTCTGAATGGCCAACCACTAACTCTTGTGGACCTTATTTTCCACATTCGAACTGCATTCTCGATTACTCGTCGCGACGTCTGTAAGCCTCTCTTCAGAGAGCACGTCAGCTTCATTGAACACATTGAAGCACCATTGAGTTTCGACATACCGGCTCGGACCGAGCGGCAGGATAGCGGTGCACCGTCAGCCCGCACCCCGCCGCGTCGGCCCTGATCTTGACCTGAATTCGGGGGCCGCCGCTGCCGCTGCGTCGGCCCGCCACACAGTGGTGGTCTGACAGCGGTGTGCCGAGCG